AAGATATAAGTGTTAAAATTAATGTTAATTTTTTTATTTTTTAAATAAATTAATATTTTAAAAATATAATAATATATTTTTAATTAATTTTTTTAAAACAATTTTACAAAAAATTGAATTCAAACCATGAGGAAAAGGGATATATTTAAATATAACTTAGTACTATTGGATCCGAAGGTTCAAATATATTTTTAATTTGTATTTTAAATATATAAATTAACAAATTTAAATAAAAATAAAATATATGGTAGTATTTATCTGAAAGAACAGTAAGAAAAGAAATATGTGGTAGGATTTATCTGAAAGAACAGTAGGGTGAGATGGTGACGAAAACAGAAATTTGCACAAAGAAAACGCAACAGTAGCAGAAACGTGCGCACGACAAAGTCTTTACGATTCCTCTTAAAGGATGCCATCGAATGTGCGTTTACCGGCGCACAGTGCATTTATGCTTGCGCTACCCTAGGGGATATTTTCCTTCCTTTTCCTTTTTCATCGTCGGAGTGGAACAAAGTATAAACTCATTTTGTATAAAAAAGATCATATAATTATAATATCATATAATATTATTATTTTATAATAAATAAAATTTGTTATTTATATTTACATATTATTTTTTTAATATTTTAAATAATTTTATTTTTATCAATATTTTTTATAATTTAAAATTAATAATTAAACCTCATATTGGCACCATTAAGTTTATTAGTAATTTAAAATTTTTTATTTTTATCAATATTTTTTATAATTTAAAATTATTAATTAAACCTCATATTGGCACCATTAACTTTATTAGTAATTTAAAATTTTTTGTGGGTTTTAAATTGTAACAAATATTAATCAAAAATAAAAATTATAAAAAATATTGATTAAAAAAAAGTGATGTTATAAAGACAACTTTTTTATATTACTTTTTTATATAACTTTTATATATCATTAAATAAGTGAATGCATTTAATATCACGGGTTTTACATGAATTTAAAAAATTAATTATTTTTATAACATGTCAAGTTATACAAAAAAATTGTAAAAAAAATTATACAAAAATCATTTTCCAAAAAAAATAATATAAAAGGTATAGATAAAAAATTTAACCTTAACAATAATTATAATGTAATACTAAACATACATATATAATACCTTACATGTTTATACAAAAAAGTTGTAAAAAAAATTATACAAAAATCATTTTCCAAAAAAAAATATATATAAAAGGTATAGATAAAAAATTTAACCTGAACAAT